CGGAAGAGACGCCTACGCTTTCTTTTCCGATCTGAAGGTCTGATTTCTTCTGATGCATTACATATGGGAGAGGAATCGAACTGCGGCGTGTGGTTTTGTTTGTTTGTGTGGCTTTTGGGGCAGTTTTTATTTTCCGCCTATCGGAAGGGCGAATTGTGGGTTTAGCGACTCTCTCTCTTGCGATGGATGGATGTTACGTGCTTGAATATCGGACTGTGCTTACGGTAGTAATATTAATAATTAGTGGGAAATGGAAATGCCGAGGCCAATACCCCTTACTAGTGTTTAAAATAGGGAAGGAAGAAGGACCCATCAACCTTATTCCTTTCCACTTTCCAACTCTCCTTACGTTAACTTCAGGCTTAACTTTTTCTTTTCTTCATTTTTTTAATATTAATAATAATAATAAGATAATATACAATTGTAATAGTGATTGGAGGCAGAGATAATTGTAAAAGTATGAAAAAAGAGTGTCGAAGATTAATATATATAATTAATATATTTTTATATACTAGAATGTAAAATTGTCTTATAAAAATGGAGACGATTTTAGTATTTTTTATTTATTAGTATAGATTTTCAAATATAAAAAATTATTTAATTATGTTATAATTTATTGATTATAGTAACATTCTTTTATTTCATAAAATATTTTCATAAATAAAAATAAGACTAAAATAGAATTTAGTCTCTTATTTTTATTTTAAGTTTTAGTTAAGTCTCTTAAGTTTAAAATGTTTCACTTTAGTACCTTAAAGTATTTTTATTGGTCAAATTACTTCTTCTGTCAATTTTTTGTAATAATAATGTAAATTTTGATTAATATGACATCTTCATAACTTAACATGTGTCACTAAATTGAAAATATTAATAAGATAACGAAAAGATTAACTTAATCTAACAAAGATATTTAATAATTAAAATGAAACATTTTAAATTTAAGAAATCAAATGAAAATCTAAAATCAATTCTAATATATTAAATATGAACGATTATCTTGTATAAAAGTATTTTTAAAAATTATTATTTGATAATAGTATTTTGAGAGATTCTTTTAATTTCTTATTTAATTTAACTTTTTTTATCATATTTATTTATGAATTAGATTTTAATATTTTCAAAATGTTATTAATGATTAAAAATATTTTTTTTGATAAATATAGGATGGATTACTGAAAAAATATATTGATTAATCTTAAATTTAAAATAAAATATTTATTTATAATAATTTTAAATATAATTCAAATATTTAAATATAATATTAATTTAAATATAATTAATTATAAATTTTAATTATATATAATAAATAATTGACCCGTAAAATACGTTGACTAATTTACTAGTAAAAGTAAAAGAGGAAAACTTTTAGCCATAATTATAATATCAAATTCATTTAGTATCAACTTTTAATAACAACTACTCTCTTAAAATAAATAGCTTCAAAAGATGATACTTACAAAAAAAAAAAAAATATTTTTTT